TTACGAGGACTAATACAAGTTTTATATAAACACAAATTTTCAAGTCATATTGCAATCAATGAGGATTACGAGTGGAAAATAGAAACTAATTAGGATAGAAAATAATACTGTAGCTTAGAACTTTGAATAATTTAAAAGCTTGAATCATATATATGTGCACAGATGAGGTGCCTTCTCTCTCCGTATCGATGTGTTATTATTTACTTCTCTCGAGTTGATATTAGTTTGCAATAGATAATAACTATATTTTCTCTTCTTGGAGCGCTGGCATGTAAATGAGCAAACATTGAAAAGAGACATTTCAATATAAACTGATATAATGAAATAATTCCATTCTATTAATCAAAATGTGTCTTAGAAAAGCTTTAGTTGTTAGTTGAGCTTTTAATCTGTTGACACCTTAAATATCTGAAAGATTCATACTCAGAAAGTTTCATATCAATTGTAATTACAAACATAGAACTTATTTTGAGACTTGATTAGATTATATATCATGAAAATATCAAATCTCAAGAGTTTTATATGAAAAAATACATATATTCATAAGTTCGTGGGTAAAGAATAGGTGCTACTTGATATGACTTGTAGAAGTCTTTAGAACTTCGTTATACGATGACATGCTTGATATGCAAGTATTAATTAAAGTGTGATCGTTGTAGTACAAGTAACAGAATTTCAATGACAGTAAAACGAATAGTATCCGACTAAATAAAATGTAGTGGACCTATTTAAATCAGATATCGATATGTGGCACTTGATGCCTCTTACAAAAGGGATATTCAACGAATTACAAGAATTAGTTTCGCTTAAAAATGAATGTATCTATCATTTGCAGGTTCAACCGTGTCATCTACAATTAATCCAACAACAACAACTACAATGCTTATCGATATCGGTGAGATAAATAAAAGAAGATTCTATTTTAGTATCACACTAAAAATTCTCTCTTCACAATCCTTATTATCTGATCATTCATTTTGATATACTGATTCTTTTACAGATAAAATAACGACTATAATCATGTGTGTAAATAGGATTTTCTCATGATGACACATGCGCTCAGTAGCATAATGAATTAAGAGTCCAAAATATAGATATTATATAAAATAAATCAAATCATGTGTGTCATAATTTGAGTTAGAATTCTTGAATATATAATATAACATAGTATTCTTGTTTCAGAAGCACAAAAATTTGAAGCAGAACTGGAATTTTGACTATCGGTACTGATTTCATCTCTGAGACTTCGTAGAATTTTTCCAGAGATATATTGTATTTAAGAGGAATTAAGTCTATTCTGATAGAGTGTGAGAGGAGTGATCTCTTTTCGTTACAACTATGACAACAAAAAATATATATTTCAAGAGCTATGTTATAATATTATCTATTAAAAAAATCAAATTTTTTTCTAAACAATAATACTCTTTCTCTTCTTTATTGTTCATATTTCGAATTTTTTGAAAATCTTCAAATGACAATAGTGAGACCGATAAGGAAAACTGATCAGCATATTTTACATACTCTTCTCATCCCTTCAAACATGAATACACTTTTACTATTACTTTTCACTTTAAAGCAGCAGTCAATAATCATGTAAGAAACAATATTCTGTATCTGCTTTGTTCTTATATAAACATCGATTCAAGATAATTCAGAATATATTTA